CACAAGGGCTCCAAGAGATCCCAAGGAAGCCCAAAAGAGCTCCAAGAAAGCTCGAAGATTCCACAGAAGAGGCCCAGACGGCCCACCAAAGAACCCAGAAAAAAAAATGGTAATCATGATTCCCATATTTTGCCTCCTCTGGGTAAGGACTTCTGGCCGCCTCTTTGGAGCCCCTGGGGGGCTTCTTGGGGGTCTCTTGGGGCGTTTTGGGCGCTCTGGCGGGCCTCTGGCCGCCCCTTGGGGGCCTCTTGGGGGCTGCAATCGGGAACCCCACCTCTTTTGAGCCATGGGGCCCAAAACATCCCCAAGAGACCTCTCAGACCCTCCAAAAGAGCTCCAAGAGGCCCCCAAGAGAGCCCTAAGAGGGGCCCAAGAGGCCCCCAAGACGGCCCCAAGAGCGGCCAAGAGGACACCAAAACCATTCAGAAGAGCCCCAAGAGGGCAACGAGAGAGCCCCAACAGCACCCCAAGAGAGCAGCACCAGCACCACCACCAGCAGCGGCAGCATCACCACTGCAACCAGCACCAGCACCAGCACCAGCACCATTAGCAACAGTAGCAGCACCACACGCAGCAACATCAGCAATAGCACCAGCAGCAGTACCAGCAGCAGCAGTAGGACCAGCAGCAGCAGCACCCGCACAGCACCCTACCGCCAGCAGCAGCACCAACAGCACTACACCAACACTAGCAGCATCAGCCCTCTGGCATCGCTTCTGGATGGGCTGGTGGGGATCCGCGAAGCGTGAACAATTTGAACTATGGCCGCCTCAGGCTCAATCTCGGGTCCCCATGGGCCCCCATGGCCCCCACTATGGAAGAGTATGTTTTTCAATAGCCGCATCATTCGAAGCTCCACGGACGTCATTATCGGTTGCTGTTCTCTAAACATAACCAGCATGATAGATCACAGAGGCAATACTTCGTATCTTTCTTTTGGATTTCACTAACAAAAGCGGCCGCGCGCTTCCAATTTAGCAAGCCGTGCCTCCTCGCACCTTTCAGGGCGCCGCCGTCATACTTGAGCAGCACCTGACGCCAGAGGAACTCTGTAGACTTACAGGGCTTGCGCGCAGCCCGGCGCGGATGAACAACAGGGAACAAATGCTGACATGCACGATAAGTGCGCATCTGGTAATACTTGCCATGGTGTTTAATTACAGGTCTGTTCCGCTTGGGAATGTTGCGCATCAAAATATGATCCCATATAACAGCACTGTCGTAACAACCAGACTCGGCCCGCATTCCTTTCACAACGTTTGTGCAATACTGTCTGAATGATGAAACAGCCGATGCAGATGCCACCATGTGCGCTAGCCATGTGTGCCCAGAATGTGCACCAGCCATGCCCGAAGGGTTGCCCAAAATCAATCCGTCGTCATCCCTCAACCTAGTCTGTACGTTTTTCAAGCTTGTCAGATTGAATACAGGCTGGGATTCTTCTTTTAAAAAAGAAAGCAGAACATCATTTGCAGATACATCATAAAGCCTGTCCGCTGTTAGAGTCCATGCCAAGGCGTCAGCCTCCGTAATATTATTCCGCGAGCGATGCTGAAGATCCCAACAGTGGTTTGCTACCTTCTGCACGACGCGGCAATCTGGACGGCAAGCCAAGCAGGAGATCTGACCACCGCCGTGTTTGTCACAATCATTGAATGTGCATGCCAAGGCGGGATATTCTTGCCTTATTTTCAAAGGCAAGTTGCCATACCTCAGTGCGGGACTAAACGAAATCAGCTGCTGTGGCTTCACACGATGAACACGATTTTTCGTATGTCGCCGGCACTTGCCATCTGGATTCTCCCTTTCCCTTCTTGTGAGCCCTTTAAGACAAACAGAACAAACGGACGGCATGAATTCTTCTGTTGCGGTTTAGGCGGTTGTGGCGAAGTGCAGAACGAAGTGCCAAGCAGGATGCGATCGGCGCGCGGAAGGGGGTGACTTAGGGCCAACGAGGGCACCTCACACGAATGCTCCGAGCGGGCCGCTGGGCGGGAGCCTGCGTAGGAGCAAAAACGGCGATGGCACGCAGCAAACGCGCCCCCTCGTCCCCAACCCTTCCTGCCCCCAAGGGATTCTGGCCATGCACCGACGCGGCCCGCGGGATAGCCCGGGCTTCGGGCCCATTTGGGTATCTTGGGGGGCCTCATTTGGGTATCTTGGGGGGCTGCTGGCGGTCTAGGGGGTCCTCTTGGGGCGGAGGGCTCGGAACCTTGCGACGAGTCTACGTAACGGAGCAGAGAGAGAAAGAAAGAAACTACGAGGGCCAACGAGGGCACCTCACACAACCATGAATATAGGGCCTGTCGAGATTGTTGAAAGAGCTCGAGACCACAAACCAATGTAGAGTTCGAGACGAGAGCTCGAGACGACGGCTGCGGGCCCTGGCCTCCCGTTTGGAGATCGGCTGCAGCCGCTGCGCCATGTTCCGATGGGTATGCCGTGCTCCTGTGTGGTCTGCCGTATTCTTGTGTGGTCTGCCGTGCTCCTGTAAACTCTGCCGTGCTCCTGTGGGGTCTGCTGTGATCCTGTGGGGTCTGCCGTGCTCGTTTGGGGTCTGCCGTGCTCCTGTGGTCTGCCTTGCTCCTGTGTAATCCTCCGTTCTCCTGTGGTCTGCCGTGCTCGTGCGTGGTCTGCCGTGCTTATGCGTGTTCTGCTGTAGTCCTGTATGGTATGCCGTGCTCCTGTGGAGTTTGCCGTGATCCTGTCCGTTATGCCGTGCTCTGTTGTGTTGTGTGCGTTCTGCTGTACTTCAGTATGTTCCGCCGTGGTACTGTGCAGTCTGCCATGCTCCTGTGCATACAGCCGCTCCTGTGCGTTCTGTGTGTTCTGCCGTGCTCCTGCATCGCATGCGGTGCTCCGATATCTGGTGCAGAATCTCACAAAGAGGCGCGATGCACAGAACAATGCGAGCGTTTTTTTTTTAAAAAAAAAAAAAAAAAAAATTCCGTCGCGTGCAATGCAAGCCGCAATTATGCATGTCACGGTGGCACCACGGAGCGCCAGTGGTTTAAAGCATCACCACCGTAAATAAAGCAGACATACCGTGCTAAGCGACGTTACCATAACGTTCGCTCGAACTCAGAACGCGCGGCGAAGAGTAGGCGCTCCTATGGACGTCTTTGGGTCAAAAGCCTTACTCACACCAAATGCACAAAGATTTCGGACAATCAGCAAAGTGCACTTGACAGCCCGCATCGCAATCGCGCTATCCGCTCACCAGGGCAACCAGCGCACGCCTTCAGTATTGTGAGGGCAAGGTAACACAGGTACAAAGTGGTTGCGATTCTCTCTGGCAACGGTGATCCGTCGAAGGGCAGATGGGTTCCCGAGAACGACGCCGCTTCCGTCGTAAGCGAGGTCCATCACGCGCAGACAGTAATGAGACTCATCGACATTCTGAGGCCCTGCACGCGCATGTTGCCCGATGCTCCGTAGCACGGCGGACCAGTGATCTGTACTCAAATAGTTCCGCGGGTAGACTTTCATGCAATTTCCCGTGCAGGCATCAGCGGTGGGAGAGCAGCCGACCCCGCACACGCGCGGGAATTCCACCTGCAAGCTTGTCCTGACAGCGTCCACGTCCGTTGCGATTTCCACACGCTGCTCTAAAGAGTACACGAAGCAGTTGCAGTCATGGCCATCAGCGACACCCAAGTAATGATAACCTTCTCCAGGGATGTGCACAATCCGACGTCCCTCAGCATCTCTGCCTTCGCGCTGCCACTGAAATTGCGTACGGTGCCTCCTCCGACCTCGAAGATCGCGAAGAAACCTTTGCGTGTCGAGCATGTCATCCGCGTTCGGTGTCCACGCGAGCTGTCCGCGGTCGCGACCGAAATAAGGACATAGGGGGCTAGTGTTGTCGCGGTGGCAAGTCTTCATGCAGCTTTGACATCCGTCGTCGCGGTCTTCGCGGCAGCGGTGGCTGTACTGCAAACACGTGCCCGGGGGGGCAAGTGAGGAGTCTGCAGAGGCGAACCCGGCACTCTGTGCGTTGACGGAATCGTCGCGGCTGCCAAGGCACGTCGGAGAGAAGTTCCAGCACCGATGTCGACCACAGGAATGGCAGCCATTGCGCCTCTGAAATCCTGAGCACTCAGGGGAACCGGCAGCAACGATCTCGCCGAAACTGAGGCAGAATTCACAAGGTTTATCTTGGCAGAGAACACTTGTGCAATCTGTGTGACACATGCGGGAACACGAGCGACATCCAAACTCTTTGTCAATCGCGCAGACATGCGTGTATTCTGTGCAGATGTGGAGGCGCGGCTTTCTCATACTCTCCGCGGCAGCCTTGCGTCCCTCGTCGAGAGCCGGGCGCGGCGTAGATCTTGGGGGGCGCACCCTGGCGCTCTTAGCTGGTCTCCCGGCAACGCCTCCGTCGTCGACGACCCTTGCCATTTTATCCGTCCGTGCACTCTTAGCGGGTGGATAAAGTTCGCCAGGATAAGATTTGCCAGGGCCCACCGCAGTCTTCACGCGGAGGCGTCTCCGAGATCCCTCGGCACGCGCAGGTGGTCCTGCAGACTCGTCGTCAGAAGCATCGTGCACACCTGTGCCTGTTGACACTTGCTGCGAACAGGCGGCCTCCGGACGCTTCGCTCTCGCCGCGGCGACTGCCGCCGCCTGTTTTGGGCCGCCGTTCCTTGCCAACACGCTGTTCCAGATCTCGGCGCGGATGCTGTCAGGAATGTGGAGGTCGTTCATGTTCTTCATACGTTGGATGAGCTCGCCCAACGCACACTCCTGTCAGCGAGCCACACGGGGGAGGGTGTTAGAGGTGAGTGCACGATATGTATGGCTATTGGTGGCTAATACCGTTTTTTATAAGAAAAACTAAAGCTTCAAATACGTTTTGAACGGCTGGAGTCCTCCAGGTCCTTCAGCCTCTCCAACTCTCGTGTAAGGAAAGCAGGCGGCGGCCTTTCCAGCTCGTGTTTTTCGGCGGCACGAAGAATAAGCAGACCCTCTAACGATCTCGGCCGCGACAACATAACGTAACAGGCAAGCCAGTGCGTGTCCGCATCCATTGTCGGCGGCTTCTTCATGTCCACTATCGCCGCGTCGAACGTGCCGCCCTGTGCGCCGTAGACGATGATAGTGTCGGCGGGGAGAACTTTGAAAGTGGTACGGCGTACGCTGAATGTCTCCTCCTCCCAAGTCGCGCTTAAGTACTCACACGTGGGACGCAGCTGAAACAATCCTTTGCGGTCCGTCGTGACTGGCATGTCGTCTGGGAAGTGTGACTCGTCCAACGTCCACGAGACATCCGCCGCCTGCAGCCACAACGATACTGGCATGCAACAAAAAAAAAAAAAAAACAAACAAAAAAAAAAAAAAAAAAAACAGAACAGAAAAAAAAAAACCAGAGAGGAAAAAGGAAAGGAAAAAAAAAAATCAAAAAACAAAAATGCAAGCAAAAAAATAACAATAAAAAAAAAAAAAAAGCGCAGTGGACCACGATTATTCCTCCTCGTTTCGGCTTTGGAAATTCCTCAGCTATGGGCTCTCCGAAAAAATGATATGCCGAACTGTGCACACGCCAATCCCTTTCATAATGCCGAGGCCGGACGGCGGCGAGAGGTACTGAAAAGACAAAAAAAAAAAAAAAAAAAAAAAAAAAAAAAAAACAAAAAAAAAAAAAAAAAAAAACAAAAAAAAAAAAAAAAAAAAAAAAAAAAAAAAAAAAAAAAAAAAAAAAAAGACAAGATGAACACGGCAGATGACAACTCCTGTGGTGTCAGCCGTGCTCCTGTGGTCTGCCGTGCACCTGTGGGGTCTGCCGTGCTCCCGTGGGGTCTGCCGTGCTCCTGTGTGGTCTGCCGTGCTCCTGGGGTCTGCCGTGCTCCTGTGTGTCTGCCGTGCTCCTGTGTGGTCTGCCGTGCTCCTGTGTGATCTGCCGTGCTCCTGTGTGGTCTGCCGTGCTCCTGTGGTCTGCCGTCTTCCTATGGGGTCTGCCGTGCTCCTTTGGGGTCTTCCGTGCTCCTTTGTGGTCTACCAGGCTCCTGTGTGGTCTGCTTTGCTTCGTGGTGTCTGCCGCGCTCCTGTGTGGTCTGCCGTGCTCCTGTGTGGTCTGCCGTGCTCCTTCTGTGGTCTGCCGTGCTCCTGTGGGGTCTGCCGTGCTCCTGCGTAGTCTGCCGTGCTCCTTTGAGGTCTGCCGTGTTCCTTTGGGGTCTGCCGTGCTCCTTTGGGGTCATCCGTGCTTCTTTCTGGTTTACTGGGCTCCTGTGTGGTCTGCTTTGCTCCTGTGGAGTCTGCCGTGCTCCTGTGCGGTCTGCCGTGCTCCTGTGAGGTCTTCCGTGCTCCTTTTGTGGTCTGCCGTGCTCCTGTGTGGTCTGCCGTGATCATGTGGGGTCTGCCGTGCTCCCGTGGGGTCTGCCGTGCTCCTGTGTGGTCTGCCGTGCTCCTGTGGTCTGGCATCGGCTCCGGTGTGTCTGCGCGTGCTCCTGTGTGTTCTGCCGTGCTCCTGTGTGATCTGGCCGTGCTCCTGTGTGGTTCCTGCCGTGGCTCCCTGTGTCTGCCGTCTTCTATGGGGTCTGGCCGTGCTCCTTTGGGGTGCCCTTCCGTTGCTCCTTTTCTGGTCTAACCGGGCTCCCTGTTGTGGTCTGCTTCTGCTTCGTGGAGTCTGCCGTGCTCCTGTGTGGTCTGCCGTGCTCCTGTGTGGTCTGCCGTGCTCCTTTTGTGGTCTACCGTGCTCCTGTGGGGTCTGCCGTGCTCCTGCGTGGTCTGCCGTGCTCCTTTGAGGTCTGCCGTGTTCCTTTGGGGTCTGCCGTGCTCCTTTGGGGTCATCCGTGTTTCTTTTTGGTCTACTGGGCTCCTGTGTGGTCTGCTTTGCTCCTGTGGAGTCTGCCGTGCTCCTGTGCGGTCTGCCGTGCTCCTGTGTGGTCTGCCGTGGCTCCTTTGTTAATCTGCCGTGCTCCTGTGGTCTGCCGTGCACCTGTGGGGTCTGCCGTGCTCCCGTGGGGTCTGCCGTGCTCCTGTGTGGTCTGCCGTGCTCCTGTGGTCTGCCGTGCTCCTGTGTGTCTGCCGTGCTCCTGTGTGGTCTGCCGTGCTCCTGTGTGATCTGCCGTGCTCCTGTGTGGTCTGCCGTGCTCTTCTGTGGTCTGCCGTGTTCCAGTGGGATCTGCCGTGCTCCTTTGGGGTCTTCCGTGCTCCTTTATGGTCTACCGAGCTTCTGTGTGGTCTGCTTTGCTTCTGTGGAGTCTGCCGTGCTCCTTTGTGGACTGCCGTGCTCCTGTGTGGTCTGCCGTGCTCCTTTTGTGGTCTGCCGTGCTCCTGTGGGGTCTGCCGTGCTCCTGCGTGGTCTGCCGTGCTCCTTTGAGGTCTGCCGTGTTCCTTTGGGGTCCGCCGTGCTCCTTTGGGGTCTTCCGTGCTCCTTTATGGTCTTTTGGGCTCCTGTGTGGTCTGCTTTGCTCCTGTGGAGTCTGGCCGGGTCTGCCGTGTTCCTTTTGTGATCACCCGTGCTCCTGTGGTGTCTGCTGTGCTCCTGCGTGGTCTGCCGTGCTCCTTTGAAGTCAGCCGTGCTCATGTGGGGTCTGCCGTGCTCCTGTGTGGTCTGCCGTGCTCCTGTGAGGTCTGCCGTGCTCCTTTTGTGGTCTGCCGTGCTCCTGTGTGGTCTGCCGTGATCATGTGGGATCTGCCGTGCTCCTGTGTGGCCTGCCGTGCTCCTGAGGCGTCTGCCGTGTTCCTGTGGGGTCTGCACCCCGTCCTTCTCCTGGAACGTCAACCGCATCCCGACGCACAGTGGAAGTATGCCTGGCAAGCTTTGAGTGTCTCGGGGCGACGCTCTGCGCAAAAGCTCTTCCCTGACGTGTGGCATTTTGCGATCATCTTTCGTATGCACCGCCTCATCCCTGGCCTGTGCGATGTATAGCGGCTTATGCCCACAAGACGTAGCTGCCTTGGCGTTCACGAGCGAGCGATGCACGCGGATCTTGTGGCGATGAACAATGAACTGCCACTCGTATTTACTGAAAGGAGAACTCCCCTCGGAAAGTCTCTGGTCGTTCCGCTCCATGATGCGATCCAGGTACATCTGCCAACACTCGGAAGAAATACCCTTGCCGTCTCGCATCTCCGCGAGTAACTTGCTGAGCTTACCCGGGGCGCGAATGTTCACGTCGAGGCACACGACATGCCGTACCCGTTGCCACAGCTGAACCCCCTGAGCGGCATCGGCGAGCTTCTTGCGCTTCACGTCCTGATCCTTCGCGTCGGGGTTCTCAGGGGCCGCGTCCAGAGCGCCAGTCTCCTTCAGAGGAGTCGCTAAACTCTTCTGTGCGTCTCCTGGATCCACGGGGGGCAACTGCAAGAAGTCTCCAGGAAGAATCATACCGAGGCCCCCGAAGGGTTTCCTGTCATCCTTCGCTTCCCTGATGCGGACCTCGGAGGCATGGAGCTGGTCACTGGAGACCATAGAGACTTCGTCAATAAAGCACGCGCGAGCTTTCTTCCAGCGTTGTCTGTGCTTTTCCAGCGCAGCAACACTCAAACGGGCTTTCCGGTCCCTGACAGAAATGTTCCCGAACGGGAGCTTACACACAGCGCGTGTGGTGTCGCCGCCGATGAGCCGGGCCGCCGAGTTGGATGGTGCACACTTTCGCACGGATTCGGCCCCCCAAAAAAAAGAGACAAATGCCTCCGTAACGCGAAGCACCGCAGTCTTACCGGTGCCGCCAGGGCCCATGAGCGCGAGCTGAAAGCCGTCCGCCAAAGAGGAGCTCGAAGAGCACTGCGATCCGGACGGGTCGTCCAGGGACCATTCCCGATTTATCACGTCCTGCAGCCACAACGCATTCCACAGAAGCGCCCGCGCCTGCTTCACGTTGATACCGCCCACATCAGGGATGTCGAGAACCTTTTGACTCAACAAGAACAGCGCAGCCTCTACAACAGACGTCGATGACTGACGGGCCAACAAGGGCACCTGGCGCTGGATTGCTACGGGAATTGTCGCCATCGCCGCGTCGATGCGTTGCTGCAGCACATCTGACTTCGTCTTCTCAACTTTCCTGACCATCTCGACATTATCCTCGCCCTCGTTGACGATCTTGAAAAATTTCTGCTGCATGTCAGAGACGATGAGCGACTTTCGTGCTGACAACGAGTACTCTTGAAACGCACCGCCGCCGTCAGCGGCAGCTGTGCGCCCCGAAACGCACTTCTTTTCCTCTTCGATGAAGCCACGGAGATATTTTGCCTCGTTGGATCTGCTTTTCGCCAGAGTATCCGAGTTGACCAGTTCGTTCAAGTCAATCTCCACGGTTCCGCAAAGATGGCTGACTGGATCTGCTTCGCGACCTGACGCGCGACGAGCTGGCGCATCATCGGGGGCATCGTCCTCCATCGCAGCATCGCCGCGACTCTCGTCCGAATCGGACTCCATCAACATCTCCTCGTCGTCGGCCCTGTTCGGATCGGGGCCATCGATATCGGCAGCAGCGTCGGGATAACCACGGAGAGCGTCCCCTGTCGGCACACGATCTACAACCGAAACGTGGCGCTTTGCGACGAGGTCGTAATTCCTCAGGCATTCACACACGCGACAAGCCCACCACTCCTTGCTGAGAGGTGGCGTATCACTACGTGCCCGAGAAGCGATGGACTCCTGAGTGCTGCGCCAATCCTCGAACTCATTCAAAAATGCGCCGTAGTACTCCGCAGCTTTGTGCGTCCACGGAGCGGGCGGGGCGCGACGCAGCACGTCCTCCACTGTTCGGAAGGGTCGAAAGAGCAGTTGCACGTACACAGCGTACTGAACCTCGTCTTCTAATCTCTTCGCTTCGTCATCTCCGTCTTTCTTTGCCTCCGGGCACGGAGGGAGAAATCCGCGAAGAACAGGTATCCGCCACGCGATGCTCAAGCGGACGGCCACGTAGCACGCGTACTTGTATAGCTCAGGCCCGAGGGGGTGATGCTCCGAAGGATCTCCGCGCAGAGGCACTTTTTCGTGCTCCCGGCTGTATAGCTTTTCTGCAGAGAACTGTCGCTTACCGTCGGCCGCGACGTGCCGCGCCATAGTGTTCACGGGGCGATGTCCGTCAGGGCGAGCTTGCCGAGCTTCGCAAGCCGCGAAGAAAAAGTACAATGGGAAATCCTCCAGCTCGTCGGGGCGGTAGAGGTAATCGTACTCCGTCAGGAACGGCCTTCGGTAGAGTTTCGTAGAGTACGGGCGCGCGGCAGTGGAGGGTCCACTCGTCTCTGCACCGGTTGCGACCTCGCTCAACCTTTTCGAGATTAGCATGCTGAGGCCTGGCGTCAAGACGGTAACGAACTC